GATTTAATAGTGCTGCGTTTCGTGCTTTCTGCTAGAAGTGGGATTTTCGTCACCGGCTAACCAGCACATACCATACTGAGTCTGCAGTGAAGAAGACAAAGAAAGTGGTTACAAGTCAAAATGACAGGAAAATCCAACTTCGTGTAATCCTCCACAAGCTATTTTGGTGCTCAAGCAGCTGTCCTGTATGTACACTAACGCACAAAGTCTACTTAAAAAACTACCCGAACTGCGACTACGTCAAAGGTCCAAATCGTGTGACCTCGCCGCTATAACGGAGACGTGGTTGCGCCCGGATATCACAAACACGGAGGTCGAGCTACCAGGCATGTCCGTCATTCGGCGCGATCGATCCAGTAAAGGGGGCGGGGTGGCTCTGTACTACCGCAGTGACCTCCAATGTGAGCCCATAGAAGACGTGTACAGTAACGTGCAGGATACTCTTTGGTGTCGGCTGCGTTTAACAGGCAACGACGTCTGTCTGGTGGCGGTCGTTTATCGACCTCCATCCTCTACACCCGAGATGGACTTCAATCTCGCGTCTGCGCTGAGGCTTGTGATCAGCAGGAGATACAGCCATATTCTTATCGCTGATGACTTCAATATCCACGCTTTGGATGCCCAAGAAACACCTACGGAACAGTTCAAAGCGGATCTACAAGACCTTGTTTCTGGTTTTCCGCTTTATGGCCATATCGACAATCCCACCAGATTCAGAGCAGCAGAAAGGTCGTCCATCCTGGACCGGATATTCACCAACGAAGAATTCATGGTCGAGAAAGTAATCATCGACGCTCCTTTGGGTTGCAGCGATCATGCAGTTTTACTCTTCGATTATATATGCTACGCAGAATACCCTGAGGATACTACACGGGAAAGCCGAGTTATCATACGGTACGATGAGCTGGCTCGACTTGCAGAGACAGCCAACTGGAACTTTCTGACAGACGAAGTACCGACAATCGCATGGCCACATTTCGTCAACCAATTTAGCACTTGTCGAAGAGGCATCCGAAACTAAGGTTGTCCACTCGAAGAAGACTGTTTCATTTGTGCGAAGTAGGAAACGGAAATGTATGGCAGTGAGGAACTCGGCTTGGCGTATCTATAAGGAACACCCGAGCACGGAGAGCTGGACGGCCTACGCAATTCAACGTAATCATTGCACTCAACTCGTTCGTGAGGATAAACTGACATACCAGCAGCATCTGATGGAGCGCATGGTTTCGAATCATAAACTGCTCTACCAACATGTAAACAACCTGCGCAAGGTGAAACGGGGAATCCCTCCTCTTCAAACGCCAGATGGCATGACGCTGACTACGGAGGATGCAGCGAACGCCTTGCGTCTGCAATATGCTTCGAACTTTCAATGCATTCCTTGGTCATCTGTTCCGTTGTCAGCAGCTGTTCTACAACCAAAACTTACGCACATAACTTTCACGGCGGGGATGGTATTAAAGAAGTTGTTGTGTATGCGTAAGCACAGCTCTCCTGGAATCGACAACATTCACCCTAAGTCCCTTGCGGTAATGGGGAAAGTTTAGCAGAGCCTCTGGCACGATTCTTCCAACGCTGTTTCGATCATATGTACGTACCCGAGATGTGGAAATGTGGGATCATAACCCCAATTCACAAGGGCGGTAGCCGTTCTGATCCAGCCAACTACCGTCCTGTAACCCTTCACCCGGTCCTGTCAAAGGTCATGGAAGCTATTGTTGCTGACGTATTAACAGCCTATCTAGAAGAGTCTGCCTTCCTTGCACATGAACAGCATGGTTTTCGACGGAATCGATCGTGCACCAGAAATCTACTGCTAGCAAGATCGAGTTGGACCAAATTAATTGACAGCGGTGCAGGAGTGGACGTGGTCTACCTAGATTTCTCAAAGGCCTTCGATCGACTAGACCATGGAATCCTGATCTGCAAACTTCAGAGCTTCGGCATTGGTGATCCGCACCTAGGATGGATCACAAGCTTTCTTCTCCACCGGAGCTTAGAGGTAAAAGTGCGTGGGTCCCTGTCCCACCCAATCCAAGTCGAATGTGCTGTACCACAATGAGCCGTACTGGGGCCACGATTGTTTTTGATGTATATTGACGACATAGCGGCCCTCATTCTTTCCAACTGCCTACTCTATGCCGACGACATCAAGGTCTGGAGAGCGATCAATACACCAGACGACTCCGCAATACTTCAAGAGGATCTGGATAAGGTGTATGCGTGGTCAGTTCAGAACCAACTCCCACTCAACACAGAAAAGTGCAGAGTATTACACTTACGTCACCAATCAGCATTTTTCTATAAACTGAGTGAGCATGTGCTTCACACAACTGCTGAGGAAAAGGATCTAGGAGTCTTGATTCAGTCCGACCTTGGTTGTTCGGCCCAGGCAAAGAAAGCATCGAACGCGAGCATTCGAAATTTGGGCCTTCTCCGGCGCACATTTGGACGCTTCGATCCATCCGCTTTTCACCAACTTCTAGGTGCCTACATACGACCACACGTGGATTATGCAATAAAAGTCTGGCAGCCGTGGCTGAGGAAAGACCTCTCTGATTTAGAGAAACCTCAACGACGCGCAACGAAGAACGTGAAAGGTTTAGGCCAGTTACGCTACGAAAACAGACTGAGATTGCTCGGGATATTTAGTGGTCAATATTGACGACTACGGGAAGATTTCATTTTGGCTTATCAGATTCTGACAGACCACAATCATACCTGCCGCCATCTGCTGGAGCTCAGTAACAGCAACAATCTGAGAGGCCATCATCTGAAGCTGGCAGTGCAGTACAGCCGTTTGGAATGTCGACGGAATTTCTTTTCCGTGCGTGTTTGCCAAGCCTGGAATGCTCTCCCAGAATCTGTAGTCAGTGCACCCAACCTGATCGAGTTCAAAAATCGAGTTGATAGTGCACTCACTTCATTGCACTATCTCCCATAGTACAGTCTAATATTGAGAGATCCAAAATCCATACTTTAAAAAATAATTTTCCCCCACGCAAATTTCAACAGTGGATTTATATTTGTATTTTGACGCTTCAAACTCAAACACTTTGCCACATGCGAATTTCAAGGGGCGGTGACTCTTTTAACCAAATACTCCATACCTCATGATCCCCTCCGGAGTTATAGTGGATTATTATTTTGACACTTCAAACGCGGTGTGTCCACAAGCTTGTAGTGACTCGATGTTAAGCGATTTTACTGATTTGGTTTCCATTGAATATTTCACACTTCTATGGTTTTCGCACTGATCACCCTACGTGACTTGTCAAGCTTTAGGTTTTATACCCACGTAAATCCATGGTTCCATTATAATGCTAATGGATCGATGGAACACAGCCAGTGAAGCGGACTGTTGTTAATAAGGTATATCCTCTATAACTATGCAAACGTCATCTTAATAAACGACTTTGTGATCGTGGCTCAGTCTTCTTACTTCCCGGAGAGCTAATCGACAGGTTAGTCCCCCAGAAGTTTACACTAGTCTGCAAGTCAGCACCAACAGAGATTGTATGTAAGTTATCGATTGCTGTCAGAGTACTAGGGAGATTTGTTTTCTTTTACACGGCGGTCCGCCGCCGTAATCTATGCTACAATAGTTTAGGCCTTAACGTACATGAGTGACGTCAGAGGTTCGGGCCAGCAGGACACTGTGGATGCGCGACACTAGCAAATCCCAGTTAGACGAAACGACTGTCTAGCGGTTTCTGTGTTTCATGGTGGCTGTGTAACTGAATATAGGTGCGACGAACTTTCTTGAAACACAATAAAGTCCTACATTACTCGGTAGGATTTTCCTCCATATGGGTCATCGTAGCCAACTCAGATTGCAGTCAACAATCACGTTTACATTTCTCGGAGCAGGTAATGGTGTTGTGGCCAAAATGAAACACTGCAGGTTTAACCACAGATAGCATGTTCGGAGAACAGCACAACTGCGCAGTGCTGTTAAATTTTTAAAACCTCGGTTCCACATTACGCAAGCGTGAACAATGTACTTGTCCTTTCTAGCTATATATTTGCCATTAAGGCCTTCGAGGAGCACACCGATGGTTCAACGCATGAAAGCTGCGTAGTATGAACAAAGCGGAATCAGTTCCATTGTCTTGTTTGTTGTTCTAGTCCTGACTTATACCGCGTTACCTGTGGAGTAATAGGTGATTAAGTATCGTTGATTAACCCTTTTTGAATAACAGCCAGTTATTTGTGTCAATGTAGTATTCGCGTGGCTATCGGACGCTTGCAGTAGGCTCCTTTCTTCTAAGCGGAATAGTTATCATTCATTAGGTTATCGTAGTCGCATGGAAGTGAAGCAAGGGTTAAAACTAATGAGGTACTGCAGTAGAGTACGATTAAGTTAACAGAGCAGAAAAGAACACCGAAAACTAAATTGTGACTCGCCATGACTCAAAAGGAGCGTTCAACTCAGTTGATCGCATTGATAAGTGGTACTGACCAGAGAAACCTCTCGTTGTGTGGTCTATATCATAGATCTGAACCCAAGTGTCTAATGGAAACAGTCGCTCAGATGCGCTAATGCGATTTGTGTGCACCAATATCAAGTTTCTCCACAAATGCTTGATAAAGGTAACCGTAAAGGACTCTACTATCAGTCTTTTCTGGAGGGGACGTTGTATCTGCTGACCTATCGGCACAAAGTCCCTTAAACCAGCCCCATCATCAGTGAAGTCGCTTCTTATTAGTATAACACACTCTGCTGCGTGCCTAAACGTGTTTCTTGCGTCTGTAAGATGCGAGATCCCCCTTCAAAGCTAGATCGATACATCACCATGTGGAACTGGTGAAACACCGCTAGAAATGGTTGACAGGTTCAATTAATTCGGGATAGATGAAGTGTCTGGGATGACTGCAACAGTGAAGTGGTTTATGCGCGAGTCAGTAAAATATGTGTGGCCCTCCACAGCCTCAAAGATCTAAAGATAAATTGGGAGATCACGTGAGCGGTTAGTGAGCAGAAATAGAATAAGTCATCGGTAAATCTTTATGAGTCAAGAAAACAAGTGCAAGGGTTGTTATTTTTCACTGATCTCAATAAGCCATGAGAGCAAATATCACGATTCGAAGTTGATTGAAATATGAAATCCGAAAGGTAAACTAAGGTCAAGCAGATATGCGGATACCGTTCATATGCTTCCGTTCGCTTTCAGAAAAAATGTACACATCAAAAAAGTTATCAACCACATGCATCATCGAGGTCCAAATCCAGCAGATACGGAGTCAAATATGTGATGATTATTGAGGCACCTGAGTTGGGAGAGAGAGAGAGATCATATGGGATGAATGGTCACATTACAAATGGGACATCCGACCAATAGGACTGGTGAAAAAAGGATCACTGGGGAATAGATAATGACGCAACTTGAGCCAGAAACTCAGTGGAAAGTGTGAAAACGGAAAATGGAGTGGGGTGTAGCTGAAACTTTTCGGGCCGCAAGCGATATGAGTCAGTGACAGCCAAGTGTGGTAACGAGTCGTTAACCGAGTGGCGACGCTAGACATCCGATTAAATTGGCACGACCTTTAAAAGCCCGACCAAGTGCATTTGCAGCAGATGCAGTGGTACTGCAAAATTGCCGGACAGACTGAAGCCACGGGTATGTCAACGTACGCACATCGTCAGACATCGGCCAACAGGCAGCACTTGCCAGAAAACTAGAGATTCTCTCGATCGACATATGCTGCCTATCGCAAACCCGCCTACGGGACCCGAGCTTTGTACTCATTCTGCGACCTCCTTAGGTGACATCAGCAGTGCGCTCTCACTGCGCCTATCCGGAGACGATGCAGCTTCAAGTAATCGCCAAGTCGGTGTTGGTATTACCCTGAATCCCCGGGCTGAAGCTGCTCTGGTTGATTGGATCTCTATCAGTAGCCGGATGTGCGCGGTCCGATGGGCTGGCTCGTTCAAAGATTGGAAATCGCGTGAAGCAAATAGGCGAAGAACCTCAAATAATTGTATTAAAATCCCCCAGTCATGAGTACATCAAAATAGGTGTTTGTTGGTTATAGCTACCGACGCGCCCACAAACTGTAGCGATGACTCGGTAAAAGGCGACTTCTCTCACTAACTGAACGACCACCTTCACCACAGAAGAAGCACGGACACTGCAGCACTGGCTGGGGATCAGAACGCTCAAGCAGGAAAACTGTTCACTGATGAGCTGCATCAGAGCAGTGTACGCTCCCGTAATGATAAGGATGAGTGGTTATTTCGTTTGTGTGAAGATGCGCGCTTTTTTCTTGCGAGCACTACCTTCTGAAACAGCACCCGCCGGAAGGTGACGTGGCGCGCTCCAGCCCCGAAGCATCCATGGACGCAAATCGATTATGTTGCGATCAGTGACCGCTGGAGAGGCTGTGTGCAAAACTGTCCCTTGAATTGAAGTACATTTGTGGGCACTAAACATGCACTTGTATGTGCTAATCTGCGAGTGTGCTTTGGCGGCCGCCCTCGATGACCCTGTGAGCGCATAGACACCAACTAATTACCTAAGCCAGATGTTCCGAATACGTACCGAAGTACGCTGGCATTCCGATTGAGCAAGCGTTAAGTTCAGTACAATTGGAGGTCGCATGTTCACCAGACCTTACTAGAAGCAGGTAAATCTTCATGGAGTAAATCCAATGGCCAACATGGACAGTGGGTCTTTTCGCAGTCTCAGTTACTTACTGATGCTCGACGGCACATTCCGGCTGGAAACCAACACAATGAGATTCGCAAAAACCTACGGGCAAAATTCCGTGCTAGCGTCAGAGATGGAAACAACCGATGCCGTCGGTAAATATCGGAAGTTATTCCGTTTGATACTGGAAACGGGCACGGTTGTTAGTGAAACAACTTGTGACGAGAGTGGACAGCCTATCCACAAAATGCCAAAACACTTGGAACGTAGGGCTCAGCATTTTAAAAGGCAATTTAATCGGCCGGAATGATTCGATTCGTCACATTAGCACTGCGCTGTCCCCATGGATCCGCTCTCTCGCTCAGAAGCTGCAGGAGAGATCAGACTGCCGAAGTTGATTAAAGCCCCGGGACCAGATGATCTTCATTCAGACCTCTTCAAATTCGAGGACCCTGCTCTTATTAATGACTGACACGAATTATTAGTGTGGGAGCAGGAAACTGTCCTAATCGACTGGAGCCGCTCCGTTATTGTCCCGATTTGCAAGGGAAACTCGCGTTCGGAATGCGGTAATGGCAGACGAATCAATCTGAGCTCCATCGCTTCCAAATTGCATGTCTCTGTCATCCTTCAAAGGGCGACTAGCACTCGTACAGGCCAGATGCGTGAGGAGTAAGCCGGGTTACGTCGACGTCGGGATTGCATCGACCATATCTTCACTTTACGCCAGTTGTTGAAGCACCGTAAGGTATATTAGCGGCCCACCGTTGTCGTGATTCTCTACATAAAGCGTGACTTCGATTCGATCTGCAATTATTATCAGAGCGCTTTACACGCGTAGCTCGCGAAGAATAAGGGCTTACGGCAATCTGTCACCGACGTACAATATCTCCAAAGTTGTAAGACAAGGGTGCCCGCTGTCATCTCTGCCCTTCAACTTCGCTGCTGATGAAGTCACGGAGATCATTTTCACAGTATAGGACTTAGAAGGTGTGGAGCTGCTCCCACGTGAAGGAATTTCGACTTGAAGTCTCCTGACGGCATTACCCTCATATGTGACAGCTCACAAACGCGCCAAGCGATACTGTACAGATAAGCAGTGGCTGTCAGCCGTTTCTGGCAATGCTATGCACCGTCGAAGTACAAACCTTTCTAGGGACTGGCTGCGCTAATCCATGGTGGGGATCAGCTAGAAGTCGTACAAAAATTCAACTACTTAGGCAGCTGTATCAGCGCCAACAGAATTGAAGACGAGGTCACGAACCGCACAGCAATAGCACGAGGTGCTTTTGTTAACCTTCGCCACCTATGGCGCTGGCGCGACCATCACTTTCTCCCTGAAAAGTAGAATGTACAATGCAGCCGTACGTTCGACCCTGCTGTATGGTTGTGAAACCTGGCCCATTAGATCAGCCGACATAAAGAGGCTAGTTATGTTCGAGCACCGGTACCTTCGCAGTTTGCCTCACATCTGGTGGGAACACCGTGTGAGCGATGAGTGTGTTCGACGCCTTGTTTATAGCGGAGGAAGAAGAAGTGAACCGCTCAGCACCGTTAGATCACGCACCAGGCTTCAATGGATGGGCCAGATGTTGACCATGCCAACCTGCCGACTCCCGCGAAGTGCGTTGGGTGCTCGCCGGGGTGTGGATGAAAGAAAAGGAGGGGTGGACAAGCGGTGACTGTCAAAAGAAATGAAGGCTCTTCGAAGTTGGCCTCCGTTGGAGCCTCACGACTACCTGGTTGCAGTCTGAAGGGCGGTGAACACGTTTGGCCGGACACACTACTTAATACGGCTAGGAGCCAACCTCAGTGGCGTTTGCGTTGTAAATTTCTTTGTCCATACCCTTCAAGGTAAGCCAACTCCTCCAACGCCGATCTCATTTATTACGCATAACGTAACTTTTTGCGGCACAATAGCCGGCTGTTAGCTCTCCGGAACCACCTCCATCCGTTATTGGTGACTAAGAAAGCGTGCGTTCGTTGCATGTATTGCGGCACAGTAGCTGAGGTGTTTTCCAACTCGAGCTAACGTGTATAATGAAGACGATGATGAAAGGTATTAGATTAGCTCTAAGGATCATCGGCAACTCGCAACATAGGTAGAACATGGTTTCTGTTTTACGCATCCACCCCTTCGTGTGAACCTTTGTGTCGTTCTTTCGTCTGTCCTTTCGCCGTCACTACACACGGAATCACTGCAACTACAGTTACACCTACCAAAAGCAGCTTAGATTCTGTCTGTCTAAGCCATTTATTCCAGTGAACCTGCGCGTCGGCCGTTCATTTCTGTTCTCACTGTCGATGCCGTGAACACACCGCGACCTCCATCTGCGAACACGCACTACACTTGACTTGGGCATCGCCTTGCACAAGCCAGACTATCGAGCCTTCGTCTCGTAATTCATATAGAGAACCCACGGTCCTTCACGCTGCTATGCAGTGCTATGTAAACCCATATATACCTTCGCGCGCCGACTCGGATCCTTGTGTTCCGTGCGCACAGTCGCAAGCACAATAAGTTGCGCCTCGGTTGTTTTCGCGTTGATCAATATTGTTGACGTTAGGCATAATAAATAAATAAATAAAATTTATTCTCCATAGGTTAGAGGCACGCCTCCATAGGCATGATCATAAGGTTACAGCACTGATGAAGTGTCGGCCACAATGCATATATAGTTAAAATGTTAAATGGTTGTATAGGACTAGTGGAATTAAATAGAAATAAGTATTTTGCACAGATGCAATGTCAGTCGTATGCTTGAGACCGTCAGAGTTGGGGATACTTCGTGGAAAAGTTAAATAAATAAATGAATGTTTCATTCTCGGCAGTGCGAGGCACGCCTGCGAAGGCATGATCATGTTACTACAAACACGTATACTCGGTAATTGTACAAAAATGTCGCAAGTTAAATAGTAACGTCGGATCTATGTGTATATGTATAGGTGTAGGTGCATGTGTGTGCGGTTTCGACTGACGAGCAGATACACAGCGAGCTTCGTATCAGCGTATCTAAGGCAGCGGCGGCATTCGGTAAGCTTGAGTAACGAGTGTGGCTTTGATGTTCATTTAAATGGTACTGCAACACACTTCCAGTTCCGATTTCATCTGAGGCAACAGTACTACGCGTTGCTCGAGTCTCAGGCGGTTCTCTGCTTACACACACTACATCACAAACAGTGATATAGTCAGTTAACACGTCAGTTGCGTGGCAGTATAAGCGACTGAGCAAGGTCTTGAGTTCCGATAGGGTAAACCAACGTAAGGCGGTTTCCTTAGTGGTGTTGGATGTATGATTGGGTCAAGCTGTGAGGTAATTATATGAAATCCGGTAAATCTTTATACTGCTTACCCGAGAGGAAAGACAACATAAGTGACCTCTACCGAAAGATGGAAGTTGATGGTGCAGAGAGCGCATGGGTACTATTGCGTCGGCAAGAGGCATCCAAAATAACTGATAAGACGGAACAGTTACGACGCGTAAAACGTCAACCTAGTGTCTGACACAAGTTCCGAATGAAATGTAGTCTGAAAGGAGGTCAGATTTCGTGGTCAGTTGTAAAAGTCTAAATTAATGCTGATAACCGTACTGTTACATTGCTAAGTGGATGCATTTTACAATGTGACAAATCGAGGAAACCTCACTGAATTATAAATACACACGGGGATAAACGATAGTTGGTGGATAACAAGCTAGTCAATTAAAATAATACGATGCTTTAGGAGACAAGAAACGCACCTGCTCTTCGGAAAGCTGTCATGATCTCGAGTGCGGCTTGTTTCAAATCCACCGCTCCCGCATCCGCAGCATGCATGAGCATAGCATATTCACCGGAAACGTGATAAACGGCCAACGGGTGATGCGGAAGCTGTTGAACAAAGAGGATACATGCATCTGCCTTTACGACAAGCGGGGCGACCGTGGCAGCTGCTGCGGCGGCAACAACAGTTTGTTTAAATTGAGGTGGCAAAACGGACAACCTATTCAGCGGACAAAGTAGCACATGGAGTGGGAGTAGCCGACACCCCATGCGCGTTGTGTGTGTGCGTGTGTGTGTGTGTGTGAGGAAAGTTAACGTGCCGTGATGACGGGCGGCCAAGGGAAGTAAAGAAAGAGTACCACACAGGTTTTAGATCGCTCGCATACAAAATGGACAGAGACCAGACCGTTGGGACATATCAAGTGGAGAAATGTCAGGAATACGAAGCAGGTCGGTGAGTGGAAAGTCTGAGCTGATTACTACGTTCTACTGTCCGTATACAATGTGTCGTGCGAACGTAGATAAAAAGGACGCTTTCGGTGGTTAATAACACTGCAATACTATCCCAAAAGACGGATGGGACGGAAAGGCATATGAAAAGATGTATCTGAACAAACAGAGTCATGAAGATATGCTAGTAGCATTCCGGCCCGTAGCCTAGAGGTAGCCGGCTTGTCTCGTCATCTTGCGACGCGGGTTTGAATCCGCGTAGGGGTGGGCGTCCTCGCGGTCTACACAGCCTGCGTGCGACTGGTGGTGGTCGCACGGCAGCGATGCGCCGCTACGGTGTACAACATTCTGTAGCATTTCGGAAACTCGCCGCCATGCAACCGCAGGTGGTATGCGAAGTGGGACATAGTCCTGGCGTCCAAACCAATAAAGGAGAGGAGGACCAGATTCGAGGAGCAGATATTGCGAGTCGGATGCTATACTCATGACAAATACTTAGTCAAGTCATTTTATAGCATATGTTAACACACTAAATCGATGAGCTCCACTTTTTGGAATGACGGAAGCTAAGGCCCCGAAGTGGTAGGATGGCGGGTAGTAAATGACCGAAAGGTCTGTGCTGTCTTCGTGGCGGGAATCGCGAGATCGTCAGTCAATCAGTGATGTTTCAACATAACAAGAACAACCAACATTTCGCGGGGTAGACTGAATTCAGTTTAGTTCGTGTATTCTCAGTTAGTGATTGTTACAGGACCTCCACATGCTGCTGCAGCGAAACAAGTGGCGTTCATCTAAGACACGGCATTTATAACAGAGAGGAATTGATATGCAGCATAACGAAGATTTCGATTATCTGAATAAGTCGCCGTACTCTTCGAAACTTTGCGTTCCCTTCCCGTCTCACTAGATCCAACTGCAGAGGTTCAATCACATCAGCTGATCCCCCAAGCCTGCATATTAGCCACCAAGCCTCTCGTACGAAATAGAACATTTACCTTGTACATACGCACACATTGAAGATTGGTCGGTTTGTATGACCTAGCATCTCCGTGTAGACCATGGTTCTTTGCTCAGACGCGCCTCAGTTGCATGGCATAACGATTTGGTTCCGCAACGTTTGTGTATTCTTGTGGTCCGAATACTGAGTTTGTTTTGAAATTAGTGTATTAACAATTTGTGATTCAGCACTGTGGTTGGAAGGTCGATTTGAATTAAACGTTGTGTGGATGAATTGCAACGCGCAATCTCAAAGTGGACCGCGATTCACATGGAAGTGAACCTTGGCATTGCGGTCCATATTCGGCTGTGAATTCTACTTTGACTCTTCAGATATCTCTCGACAGCCCCGTTCGTGATCCCTTAAGCCAGTTATGATCTAGCATTGTGCCACTAAATAGAGAAAATAGTGACAATGGATCAAAATACCTATCGAATCTCAGCTAGTGGGGATTTTATGTGTCCACGAAAATCCGCCCGATGTGGTGGTGTTCAAAATTCGACTTTGGTAGACATTGTTGACTCTGCGCACAATGTGAACACTTAGTAAACTTTGTATTCAAAAATACGACCGATGTCGGTCAACACATGGAGTCTTAGCTGGAGGTACATCTACCTCGTCGACAAGAGCAAATATATAAAAAAATACTTGCGATCGGAGCCAAGTCTCGTCGGCCATCTAATATCGACCTGGTTTAACGCCGAAACCAAACTCAAGCGATTTGGCTGGCTCCCTGCGGTTGGTTGGTCTACTTAACAGTTCTTCTCTATTAGCTCCCTTAATGTGAAAACGGTGCTCACGCGCTCGATCAATCCTTGTTATCAATTTTCCATTCATTCACACTGTGGCCTAAGACATGGCGATTACATCCACTGTGACTCAGTTCCATGAGTGAACTTGAAAAGGATGAAATAATATGGCAAAGCAGACAAGCCTACGAGCGAGCTGAGAGAAGCGTGGCATAGTAGGCATTCGGGGAATATCTTCAAACTACCGTATGAAATATGTATCTAGATATAAACACGAAAAAGTGTAAATACGATGGTATACCTGTTGCCTTAAGTCGGCCAAGATATCCAGATACAGAGTGCCAGGTTTGACCATTATAATATCCGCTCCTTCGTTAGCATCACGTATCTGAGTGGAAAAATTGGGTTGAGATGTTAATATCAGTTCGAGGGTTAATGAGTACGAAAAAGCGCCCCGGATGTTATTAAGAGAAAAACGAGTAGATTTGCAGAAACTCAGCACAAGACGGACTGAACCGAAAGAAACCGGAAAAGAATGGGAACGAGGAGAAATCGTTTTAGAAGAGGACCGTATACAATAGAGCAACTAGATGCAAAGACGCAAACTTCGACATCGGAGGCAGCAACATCAAATGTTGTGCTTTAGGGATGCTCGATGTCTCCCTGCGGAACAAGCTTTCCATGCTAGGTAAGAGTGATTGACCAACAATTTGAACTATCAGTTTCCGTGCCAGGTTGTGTGAGTGAAACTCGAATTAGGCGAAAGCTGAATTAACCACGAATGGACCAACAAATTATGGTGAGGATTAGAGTTGAATAGACTGTTTTGGCAGGTTGTTCCGGGTAGCAGGAATTCTTTGTCCTGATTTCCTGGTTGAATTGGGGTCTTTGTGAAGAACCTGATTGCAACAGCCGTAATCGCAAGCGGTAGGCAGACCCGACGCTATGAGCGTGCCTTCATTATGTTTTAAAATCATGCAAGAAGCAAATGAATGAAGCGAAGAGCCAACAAATCGTGTACAAAAGCTGAAAAAGCGCTAAACATAGAAAATAGTAGATTAACAAGGTTCCTGTAGCCATGACTACACCGGAAGCAACTGTAAAATGCAGTCCCCAACCGGGATCGGCGAGCTGGTATCTTAAATCAGATACCATAATCCTCCAATGACACATGGAAATAGTTGGTGAACATGAAAAGTCTGAGGTAACCAGCGCCTCCTATCGATAAGGCCTTTGCCACAAAAGATGCGAAATATTCCGAATCAACAATTACAAGAAATGCGTGCGCTTGGTTGGCGTTGACGCCACCCAATTTAAATAAGCACTAGCAAAGAATGAATATTAGTAAGTGAACAGCAGGATATGTCATCCTAGAAGGGTATAACCTTTCATAAATCATGGTTCTTCTATGCTTCTCTTCAACCTAAAATGTACATACGTTCTTAGTAATGAACACCAGGGGCACATTCAGTGGAGACTAACTACACAGTTTCATTTTTCTATTTCACTCAGATGACAGAACTAATTCAATATCAGGTAACTCGTAGTTGGAGCTTTATGTCCCAATTCATATCGTCACACCATCGCGTTGATTGCCTCTCACAAGCAAAACATCGTCCAAGTTTAAGTGTGCATGCTTGCAGTTGTCTGTTAGTAAGACGATGCCGCCTACGTGATCCAGATCAGCTAGTTTTTCCCACTAATATGACAGCAGTGATTGTATCGCGAAGTTTAAACACAGAATCCCGCATGATGGAGTACACGATAAAACTGGGGAAATCAGAGAACCCTGGTAAGCGCTACATGTTGCCAGGAAGACGTCTGAAAATTCCTTGTAAGCTATGTTGTGACCAGTAGAGTTTCAGTATAAGACGCAGTGTCCACAGATTCCGTGGGAGCAACATCTTTCGGACGAAGAAGCGATTGAACGAGAACGAGCCTCTGATGCCCAAGAAGATAAAGGCGAATGACACCGATACTGTATGGTCGGTGTTTTGATCGCCAGCAAGTGATAATGGCTCGTCGTTCAAAGCGACACAAGTTACTTTTTTGTAAATGATTTTTAGATAAGATGTGATAGTCTGAGATGTTATGTGGAAAGCGCTCTTCGGCAAGGTGTAAAGGAACTTTGTTTGTGTCAACAAAGCCATTTAACCAGATAGCCCAAGTGTCCTAATAAAGAATGAGTCGGTTTTGATCAAGTCGCTAGCAACAATGACAAGAGGGAGGAGTTTGGTGGTAACACACGGAGAAACGGTGAGTTGTGAAAATCGATGACTTCAAAGACTCTGCTATTTCACCGGAAGACAATGTGGTGAGGGTGTTGAGTTGAAGAGTGCGAGTGTTACCGGACTACGCCAATGTTGAATAAAGTAAATAATCATAACATTACAATCATTTCATGGAGCATCAGACTCAAAAGGACAGCATGTACGTGAGAAAATGAAGTTCTCACGGAAGAACATAGTTAGCCTTCGAGTATTAGTAGATGCCTAAAGATATTTGCTGACTGAGGTTACATCTATAATTGCAACAAGGGCCGACTGCATATTGTTGAGAAAAAGCAGTAATGTTTGTATTCCTATGACAGGACAATTTCTAAATATATATAGATATTTTCTTTATCCGGCTACGTTCTTGACGGTCTATCACAAGAAAGTATTGACTTTGTGGCGGTATTCCGCAGCACGCAAGTGTCGCGCACTAGCAAATAACGGTCGTAAGGGGTCAGTAGTATGTACAGCGAAAAACGGGAGAATCTGTAGAGAAAAAGCACGAAATCTGCAGCGAAAAGAGTAATACAGTATATCGATAAAAGCAGCAATGGTCAATAGATGTCTAATGCATGACTTATAATCGACATATCGCAATTCACAAGCATGCTTGCGCATTAAGCAAGCCATAGACCTCGTTCATCCCAGAGTCCTGATGATCTTCTGAAACGCGACTAATTCGGAGATGCCAACTGGCACCTTCATCGAAAAGACAACTGCACAAGAAAGTGAAAGGATGTCTAGCGTAAAGTAAAGTAAATCGTCAGCTGTACACCTTAATGTCGATTCGCTGCATACATTTATTGGGAGGATATAATGGGGTATATTCAAACAAGTCAAATCAAGCCAATAAAGGCTTTAGGTACGCGAGTGGGTGCGTCTTCAGCAAATTACAATAACTACCGCGGATGGACTAAAAGAAAAACGTTAAAATTGCTGATGGTATTGATCGAAATAGTGGCACAGGTGTCACGTGAATAAACGGTTCTATGTAGAAAGGTAATTTCCTTGATGAAGAGAATTATTAGTATTTATTTCCTGCCGAAGTACAGTGTCAGTATGTCGATCGGGATGATCATTCTTATAGTAACGATGCGCCTTTTGATTATTTCGCTCAGCACGCACGGTGTTTCAAAGTGCTGTTTCAAAAAATCTACGCAGCACAGCGCTAGTGAACTTGAAGTAGTGTAGCCGAAGAAAGCCGTCAAAAATAGTTGGTAAAAGCTGTTGTATCCGTGGCAGATAAGGGAAAAAGGATTGGAAAGGCAAAGGGCGATTTAAAGGCCCCGCCAATTGCCAAATCATAGCGATAAAAATTTCGCGTCATTTCGTATAGAACTGAGCTACACCCGCCATGCAGAAAGCATCAACTAGAGGCAGCGCTGCTGCTTTTGCTGCGAATACTAGTGAAACTGTTAGGAAAATCACTACTAAAGGAGTGTAACGGTGTGCAATGGTCTGCGTGCCTCAGTGATCCATTAGGCTGTGTTGCATGGTGCATTGCACCATGGCAAATTCGTGAATTTTTAGAGGACGAGTTTGGAGTGAGAGTGACTCATTACTCCATAAAACAGACTCTCTGTAGTACACTTCCAAACTGCCACTGAATATGGTAAGACTATTAAAACTACAAAGTTTGACTGGAAACCGTAATCGTCCAGATATGAACAACGTGACGGCATCGTGCCTACGCAAGGAAATGATAAATCTTAAACAATTCTTGATGCTTTGGTCATCGCGGAGGATAATCAAGGGCGCCCTATCCGCTGCAAAAAGCGGGGTGGATAGGAATGAGGACGTTAACGCTCAGGCATCTCCGTCTTGTTAATTTCTTTCCTGCACTTCTTCATCCCTTAACAACTTCACCCTTATCTCTCTTTTTCATCACCTTTCTTGGCTCTTTCCATCATCAAATGATAGGCATTTGCCTTCTAGCTTCTATGCAAAAACAATCGCATAATGCCGCTCCAGCCACACCGACAAGCCCACTTCCAACTAAGTAGGAAACCCAAAGGTGGGTTTTTTTTCAATCAGCTACTAAGTGTCATCATTCCTGCACTGATGATGTCAGTTCGAGTGATGATAAAACGCCCGCAATCAAGTTTCCCAGCACGGAGAACACCAGAACAACTATACCTGTCTGTGTTTTACGATCACTAAGCTCCGATAGAGCACCAGTTGTAGGGTTACAAGGTATCAAACAAGTTGGAGTGTCTTTGATTCAATGAGCTGATGCGTCCCTATGGAAGCATTGAGTAAGAAAGAGATGCCCGAGAAGTGTGTACTTCTCAGCGCTTTGGATATGTAGTTCGGACAGGAAGATGGCTTTCTAACGCCTTAGCAAGGATCTACTCGGCCGCCCACCCGCACGTACTTGCGGAGACAGCACCCTTTATAGCTCAACGTTTTAAAGACAGACTGCCAGTGCCGTCCGAGTCGTACATTTTTTACAAGTTTAGCTGCACCTGTGTACAAAGTATCTCGGGCATACGACCAGGCGTCTGTCGATAAAGATGATTGAACACTGTCCAGGGTCACTGCGCAGAGGCACGCTCAGAAGTATTAACAGTTCGATCTTGAAACATTGGCTCCAAAGTGGGCATCAGATTGTGACCAAAGATGCCTTCAAGATCTATAATGCCGTATCAAGGTGATACCCGGAAGGGCTAAGAAAACGTCGCTTGCAGACAGCTGAAGCCATCGCGATCAGATTAACACAGCCAGAGCTATGCCAGCATGGGGTGTTTGCGCAACCGTTGACTTTGTCATGGCCCTGATGAGAAGTTATACCCCGGAGTATTACGCATAACCCGGAGCTATTTATTTCAATGAATCACGGGCAATGCTGGTCTTCAGCAAAGCAAAGATTCCCATTCCATTAATATGAATCAATATCAGAAATCACTTCAGGGTGAAGAATTCTTTTCGGGAAACTCTCATCGGACCCAAACGTTTACAAAACACTGATTTTGGGGAAACGTCAACTCGGATTGGGGTTTACTTCTGGATTGTTTGAATGATCAAAATCGATAACTTGAGGCAGGGATGTAGATGGGGTGCCAAGTGAACTTAATAAACATGC